ATTCACGAGTGGTCCAGACCTGTTGTATATATTACGACCAGTCAGTCTGCTGTTATCCAGACGGGTTTTCCTCCCTAATAACTTTATATTTTGTTAGTTTGAAGATATTTTGAGTTGAAAATAAATTACACTCCATAATTATGTTGACAGTGGGCTATTCTGCTTGAATTAGAGTTATAATTTTAAATGTAATAATTTAGACTAACAATATAAATTGTCCGTCCGGCCAGCTTATCCGGGATCAGGTTGCGGGGGGCAGCAGCAGAGAGACCCGACGGTGCGCGACGGTGTGTCTTCTGAATAAATGAAAATGATTTAACACAGTTTATACTATTAGCAGCTCCTTTTATTCCACAGCTGACCTGCTAAAAATGACAGATTTTCTTTTCTGGATCTCTGACAGACGGACTTCAATCTCTGAACTCATAAAGTTTTTCTTTTTAATTTTCGCTGTCATTTTCTTGAATGAACACTTCCTTGTATCTGAAGCAGGAAACACAGCCTTATATGGTGTTTTTGGGGTGGTAATTATGCTAATCTCCTCTCRCGTGCACGAGCAGCTGGATAGAACAGGTGGAATTTACGCAGCTCATTTACACACTTTTCCTGAAGATAGAAGAGTTTGTTGAATCTGACGTKACATGTTCGTACGAACCCTTTGTACGAACAAAAGGAAGAGAAATTTAGGATAAGAATAGGAACATGTTCTTGCATGAGGCCCAGTGAGTACAAATAGCAAAACACCATGTTTACCTGCTAAAGCCAGTGTCTTCAAAAATCCATAGCACTTCTCTCTAAACTAAACGTCCGTGCCAATGAACATGTCATCAGAATGACAAGTCCTTGTGTCAATGTTAAGGATAAGTCAGTCAAATTAATTTGTCATGAGTCGATATAACTCTACTCTGGAGGGATGTTTTGATGAAGACAGTTATTGTAAACTGTAATTGTGAGAGATTGATTTGAAAGATTCACATTTATGCTTGTACTGTTTGTACTGCAGTTTGTTGACAGACCATGTCATTGCGATGCAGAAAGGAAAATACTTCACTGTAGAGCACAAAGAATAAAACAGTAGAAATGTGCAACAAATATCTTCTCTCACACATGGAAGTTTTTAGAGTGTCTTATCCAGCCTCTGAAGGCATCTGCTCTGATGTCATCACACGCTGCATCCATGGCAGCCAGAACGCTCATCTGTGTGTGGCTGGAGATCAGATCCATTCCATCTCTATGCTGAGAAAAATTCCTCAATGGGGTCAATGAATGGGCATTCAACTGGGAGCAATTCGCTAATTCGGGACAGAAAAAAAGGTTTATTGGAGATGTATAAAAATTTGACGTTATGAGAACTTGTTCTTCCATTTTGCATGTAAAGACTTAGCGGGTGCATGAACCAATGCCTAAATGTTGGATTGAAAAGGATCAACAGGACGTAAGCAACTGATAATGTATAGGAAACATAAGAGAACTGTACAGAATCATCTCATCATTGATGGACCAAAGCATTTGCAACTTGCTCAAAGGAATGAAAAACAGCTTTTTTGGTGCACAAGTGACTCAATGATGTGAACATTGAACAAGTTTTGAGAATTTCAGTTCTGATCTGAGAAGTGTACCAAAGCAAATGGGGAAAACTTTATGGTGATTATCTGGTCATTTTTAAAGTGATGTTTTATTATCAGTCGTAACTTCAGTTATAAAGCAGAGTATAAAGAAAAGGGCAGAAGTATTTTTGTATAGCTAGACAAATGAGGACTGAGGAGCCAGATTACCCCTTCATTCTCATATTATTGCTTTAATACAACAGAACCTGCTTACTTAGACTGATAAAAATGTATAAGCAGAAAATCCGGCCTAAAACACATGTGCAGTTCATTCAGCATGTCATTTTTAGAGCCTAAAACAATTCACAGAGAGGTTTGACAGGATTTCACTGAAGCTGTCAGCTCAGCCAGCTGATATTATTCCTTATTTTCCATGTATATATATAT